GGTACTCCCTTGTAGGTAACTAACTGTTTTTCTCTTGCTGCTTTTAAGATTCTCTCTTTGTCTTTAGCCCTTGGCATTTTAATTATGATGTGTCTTCGTGTGGTCCTCTTTGGATTCCTCTTGTTTGGGGTTCTCTTCGCTTCCTGGACATGTAAGTCTATTTTTTTCATCAGGTAGGAGAAGTTTTCCGTCATGATTTCTTCTAATAGGCTTTCAATATCTTGCTCTCTCTCTTCTTCTGGCACCCTGATAATTTGGATGTTGGTACGTTTGAAGTTGTCCCAGAGGCTCCTTACACTATCTTCATATTTTTGGATTCTTTTTTCATTTTTTTCCGGATGAGTCTGCTGTTGGATCTCTGTATATTATTTTTAATTTCAGTCAGTGTATGTTTAATTTCTGACTGGTCCTTTTCCATTTTTTTGGCATTCTCATTAAGATCCTTGAAGGTCTCATTAAGTTCCTCGGAGGTTCATAGAAGATTCTTGAGTAATCTTATAACTGTGGTTCTGAACTCTATGTCCTCCATTAGTTTGCTTTCCTCTATTTCTTTCATTTGTGACATGTTTCTTTGTCTTCGCATTTTTGGCTGACTGCGAGGACCCACTGTGTCTATAAGAAGAACTGCTGTGCTGGAGACACCCTTATGGGGCAGGACTTGCTTCAGTGGGGCTTTGGTGCTCACTGAGTCTGCCTCTTGAGTGTGTCCCTTATGGATGTGAGGAGTTGAAATCTGGTATCTGACAAGGGGTACCCTGGCTCCTGGATCTCCAAGTCAACCACTGTGTGAGTCCACCCAGCAGGAGCTACAGAGATATCAGCAGGTTTCTCCTCTTTGTTTGGGATTTGGAAGTTTTGGAGCTCTCTGACCCAGCTGCAGTTAGATTAGGCTGCAAAAGCCGAGGTGATTCCTTTGCACCGCTGAGCCCAGCTTGGGAGGGGATGTAATTTGAGTGGGGCAGGGTCTCAGAGAATCACCAGGGTGGAGCAAACAGCAATGGCTGTCGTCAGCATCTCAGTGACTCCTCGCATCTCCGCATCTCCGTTACTCCGCGTCTCCGCCACTCCGTGTCTCTGCAGTCCTGAGCCCCCACAGCAACAATGATCCCTGCAAGCAGCTGTGTGAGAAAGCCACCCTCACTTTCCAAACTGCTCCAAGACAGTCCAGTTTCTCCCCGTAGGAGTCTGGGACCCCAGAATCTTGCCTTAAACGAGCTCAGTGCATTCAAGAGCTTGTATTTCCTTCCAATTGAAAAATACCTCACATCCAGGTGCAGCCAGCCTCGCGCGCATCTTTGTACCTCTGTTCTTGGTGCTTCTGCACCTCCTACCCAGTCTCAATGTGCTTCTTTCTTTCCTTCTAGTTGTAGAACTTCCACTCGGCCAGCTTTCCCATGGTTCTGGATGATAGCTGTTTTGTCTTATAGTTGTAGTTTCAATGTTCAAGCATTGTGCATTTTCTAATGTTTTTAATTAACTCTGGTCAAAATCTTGCATTCAAATTATTTTGCCAGTGTAATAACCACCTTAGATCCTAAAAATGAATTTTAAAACTGCTTTAAAGAAGTTATGAAAGGCACAAAACAAGTTCTTATCTCTCAACAGGATAAGAATGAAAAGAACTATAATTATGTAGTTGGAAAGAGTTTTAAATGATCAATTAAAAGTGTAGCTTAGTAATTCCTGAGTGGCAGTGATATAAAAAAACATTCTCCAAGCAGCATTAAATTTACTATTTATTAGTTACCCATAATTAACAATGGGTAAATATGGGAACAAAATATTTAATCAAATGCTTTAAAGCTTTGAGTAAATATTAATAGTTGAAAATTGTATCCAAGAGTGGTTAAACATATTTAGAAGAGACAATGGTGACTCAGCATAGTACCTTAGATATATTGCTGTTTCAGTTCCAGACCACCACGATAAAGCAAGTGTTGCAATAAAGCAAGTCGTTATCTTTTTTTTTTCTTGAGGAGAGAAAATTTTTTCTTGCCTTGTAAAAGGTGCAACATCTGTGAAGCACATAAAGCAATAAAACGAGGTATGCCTATAAACGGTTAACTATTAATTAGAACCAAGTATATATATTATAATCAAGGTCCATGATCATTTCAAAATGTGGTTTTATTAATGCGCATTAGGATGAGTGCCATTCTTATTCTACCTTCTTCTGAAAGAAATATTGCCAATTTTAAATAGTCACAACAAAATTTAGATTAGCCCAAACTACACGGGTATGTGTTGGGAGAGGAAGGGTTCATTTTTACCATACTGTGAATATAAACTCATGTCTTGAGTTTATAAACAACACTGAACAACAATACTTCCTTCTAAAATTTTAAGGCAGATCTGTTTAGCATCATGTGTGTGTTATTAATATGGTACAGTGTAGTTTTAGCAACTGTTTTAACTTCCCAGTGAAAATAATACATGTGGTCAGAAACAGGG